TACATTAAAAAAAAACTGTATGGACACTCTATTAAAAATAAAATATTACTTGTATTACTTATAAACACTATTTTATGTATATTTTATGCATGTATTAAAGTTATAAGTATTATAAAATAAAAGTATAATATAAAAGTTATAAGTTATAAGTTATGTTAACATATTATGGATTTACTTTATCGAAAGTATACAATATAATATGAATTAATATTAATTTATAATAACTTACTCTAATAATTTCTAAAATCTACAATTTATTTCGTCGTAATTATTAAATTTTATAGTTAATAAAAAAAATTTATGTTAACTATTTTTGGATGAATAATTGTAATAACTTATTGAAAATATAAATGACATTGTCATTAATTTCTTTCTTCGATTAAATATAAAATAATTTTGATATTACCTAAATTCAGTAGAATACATTTTTTCATTATTTATTAATATTAATAAAGTTGACCTCTAATATTATTTTAAAAAGAAAATTGTAAACATTTGTTATTCTTACTAAATATAAATATTAATACAAAATTGAAATATTGTAAAAAATTTTTGAATTGATATTATTTTTTACCAAAATTATAAATGTAATTTTAGCTGAATTAAATGTTTAAATATGTAGTCCTGATCGAATTTATCTTAATTGTAGAAGGTCTATTAGTAAATCATTTTTATATTTCAGAAGATACTGTACTGTACAAATTAGTGTGTTATTACGGTAAGTGTGGGCAGTATTTAAGTAGATAAATACGATACATTATTCACTTAATCAGGTAGTGTTATTTAATTCAAAACATATTGCAAAGCATGAAAGACAATGTATTACGGTGAAATCCTCCCCATTGTAACCGTTAGGTGGTTTACATGCTTAACTTCACATCAGTGTATGTGGTTCCACTAGTTTGCACTGCCTGTGTACGCACGTGTACACAAAAGTATCTAAATACACCTTTGAATGCAACCATATATACTTTATCGTGACAATACTGGCTTTTCTCATTGCTTAGCTATATTTACCGACTCTATTTAAAACTTTATTTCTATTACTTCCGTATATTTTACCACACGTTGAAAGATTCAACTAAATATATAAATTTGTCACAATATTTAAAATTGATATATATTCATAAACCATTCATAATAACTCTATAAAATATAGTAAATTACTAAGTAAATGAAAATTTTATTACACACAAGAAACTAATTCTAATTTTCTTTATGAATTATTTATTATAAAAGAAAGTAGGAACTTTATTAATCCTATTTATGAGGTGCTATGATAATGTTTAATACACTAATTCTATAATTATATGCTTATTAATATTTTTCTATGTAATATAAATAAATTCCAATGCAAAAATTTTATCTGCATTTATATATATATAAATTTAGGCTTTATTTATAATGAAAATATTTTATATTTCTATGAAAGTCAATTTACTTCCTCATTTTAAGTAAAAAATTTTACAAACAAATTCGTTTTATTTTACAATGAAAAATTTATAAAGACAATGTACATATAGAACACAACGTATTAATGCAAAGTATATGTATATATATATAACTACATGTATTATTTTCAATTGCAGTATATTGTTTTTAATACAAAAAAAAATTTGAGATGCAATTTTCTTAGAACGCCGCTTCGTTTACTTAGATATAAATACACTTGGGTTACGATCTATTTTTCTCGGATGAATATACTTGAATAGATCATTCAAAGTATAGAATCTCCCTTTCTAGCCTTTGTCTAAACGAAATAAAGTAAAAAAGAAGCAGCTCGCTGTCTCAGGTGGCCGCGGTTTCTACAGCGCCTTCATTGTTAGACACCCAACTGCTGTGGTACAATAAAGGCGAGGCCTCTTACGCTCGCGCAACGCAGAAGCGCGAGAAAGGAACAACGGGAGGGACGATACCGGGAGCTTCAACCCTATACGCGAAGCTTCCAGACAGGCGCATCGTCGACCTATGACAATAGGGCAACACAACCCTCCTCTCAACGTTTCATTGTCATCGACGACTACTCCCTCTTTTATACATTCTTTATGTGCAATGCATTAAGAAGAAAGGGAAGAGGAATCGACAAAAAGAAGAAGTGAGAGAAAGACTGTATGGTAGGTCTCTTATCGCCACTGCCCATGCGTCGATGTTCGCGAATCATTGTTTTTCCCTCCCCAATATGGGCGTCTCTTCGGACACAGAACCTAGAGGTACCACAGGTTTGTCTCTTTTCGCCATTTTACATGAAGGGCTCATCTAAACGAGTAGAGAAAATAAGAGAATAGGTATTAGTTATTCATATTTTTAAAATATCTTTTCCAATAATCCAATAACCTTTTCAAAAATCTTTAAATCATTTCCTTTCTGCATATAATTATTGTTAATATTGAATATAGTTTAAAAAAACATTCTATAATAAAGATAACAATAATTCACATAATATTAAATAATAATCAATAATAATCAGTCTTATTTTTCACTAATTTTTCAACAAAAAAAATTAATCGTAAATTATTCAATGTACTTAAAAAATTAATTGATATCCTAATGTGTTAACATTAAATTAAACAAAATATCTATAATGAATGATTGTCAATTATTAAAAAAATTAAAATTACTAAAAATGGAAATAAACAATAATTAATTTCGGATTTTATAAACTTTTAGATTTTTATTTAGCTATAGCATTAGATCTATATGAATTATTCTAAATAAATAAAAATCGTTTTTAATAAAATAGAGAAGCATAGTTGTATGATGAAGAATGTCATGTGTTTTATTCTTTTCAATATAGACTACAATTAATAAAAAATATCAAATAATTCTTCAAGGATGGTTGCATAGAAGAATTATAAAATTTTAATACAATATTTACGAATATTGTTTCGTATTGATAATTATTTGCTTTGGAATATTTAAATAAATATTTAAATAATAAAAAAATTTTTAGAAACAATGTTGAAAAGAATGGTATCGAACACATTAATCTGTACTGTTTCTGCAATTGACTTTGTAAGAAAACCAGTTCTATTTATGTTAAAATTTAAAACGTATCTAATTTTACTGTTATCACAAGTACCATTCACTGATCTTTATCTTTCCAAACAAAATTTTGGAAAATTTTGGAAAACAAATTAAATTTGGTTTGAACTTTTGTATAGTAATATGTTATTTTTTAAAGATTTTTTAGATTGTAACAAAATATATTTCACAAATGTTAGAAAGACGGTTTTCAATAGTATCGTAACTGTTTTTGATGTTAGAGCATAGTGGATAAAAATTAATAAATAAATTAATTAATTTTCAAATCGTTAAATTTATCATATTTATTTATGAATATTAGCTTTTATTCTATATTATTAAAGTCACTCAAAAACAATGATAAAATTCTTGAAATATCTTTCAAGAAATAATTTATTTTATCTATAATCCAATTAATGAAATTGTAATAGTAAGTGACTAATTTCAATAATATATATAATTTAATGACGATAAATTGACTAATAGAAAAAATGAAATCGCCTGTGAGAAATAATTATACATTTTATATTATTTATTCTTAATTTTTTGTGTATAATAAATATAATTTTTCAATTTGAAATATTTAAAGTCATTCGACAATTATAAGTAATATACCCTCATGTACATACGCATAACCATACACACCTATATATACTATATTTAAAAATATCTTTAAAATTATAAAATTTGAATGTGCTGAATATATTATCTCACTAAAATTAGGATACACAATTCTAAACACAATTTGATTATGAATGAATATAAATTATCGTATGAACTTCATATCAGACTAGTATAATCTATAAATTAACGTTATGCTATGATAAACTTTGATAAGTTGAAAGTAAATCATGAAATATCAAATATAAATTGCAATGCACATTTCCAAAGAGCAGCCTACATACAGGCACGCGCGTACGCACGCGCACGCACATATGTAGCCATTACGGGAATAGTATACCATTCTTAGCTAAAACTTTTTATATAATATTAATTTAAATATAGGTTAGTAAAAAAGGAATTAACAAAAGTAAAAGAAAATAAAGAAATAATTAAATATATTTCCTTAAATGAAAAATATTAAATTGTACAAATTTTTTATTACCTATATTATCGAATAATATTACATAATAATAACTTATTTTCTTGATGAAGATAGTTAATTATAATACCATTTTAATGCACATTAAGGTTTAATCGAGTAGTCCTAGATCCATGTTTTATTATTTCTGTAATTCATCACAAGAGCTTGAGTGAAATGGGATACATCATCGAAGTATTATTTTTCGTAGATTGTTTAAAATAATATAACTTATCATAGATTAATTTGTACATTATTCTCAATAGGTACTTTACAAAAATCATATTAATATTTAAATTTTAGTTTTAAATTATATAAGACTTGTAAACTTATTTTATAATTTATCTTATCTGCACACAAACGTCTACAGAAGACAAGGTTTCATTTTATTATTTGAAAACTTATTTTATAATATAATTTATAATGTAAATCAATTTGTCAATTCTTAAGTTATTATCAATTACATTCTTATAGCGATATAAATAAGTTCAGCATGACATTTGTTTCTTCCTAGAATGAAAAAACCAATTAAGGCGTATTATTAGCTCTATCGTAAAAATTAGAATTTATACATATAATATTGGGTTCATTCTTTTATTACTATTTTAAACATTTATATAAATTTAGTTAATTAGAGTAGTATACATTTTGATAATATTTTGATATCTATTTCAAAGTAATTATTTTATGAAAATGTACATAAATTTGTTAAAACTTTATTAATTACTAAAATAAAATAAAATAAATTATTTAATTAAATCAAGATAAAATTAATTTTATTTCTAAAGTAACTTCATTGTAAAATGCTTTAAAATGACTCATTTGTAAGTTCTGTCCACTATCCAATATCAATTAATTTTTTATTAAATTATCTAAAACTATTTATGAAATTCACGCATAATTTACATGATTTTTAAATCATTGAAAGTAAATAATGAAAATAGATAATATTTTTAATAACACACAAGCCCGCAATCGCATGCTTACACGCATACACAAACGTAGATACACATCAATACAATCTAATATTTTGTTATTAAAATATAATTTTATCATACAAAACGTAAAATTTCATTTTTCTTATCTTATTTAAAGACCTATTATCGATTGATCGACTGAGTTTACAATTTAATATTTGATGCACTTATTTATTTTTATCAATTAATTTATGTTAATTATTAAAATAATAAATTTTATAAATAATGCTATTGGCGTAAAATATAGGTTTCTTTACGGATTCGCTATAATTTTATTGTGAATTCAATATAGTAGTTTTTTCATGTCTGTCGATAGCAATTTTTTTAATTCTCTCCCAAAGCATAGGATATGGATGAATTGTTCTGGCAAAATCTGCTCTTTGTAGCCTATATAATTTGCAAGTTTCTACAGCAACAACACTGGCAACTCTTTTGGCATTGGGCATAATCAAAGCAATTTCTCCGAAATGAGCACCATCTTCCAAGTGACAAACCTCTTTTCCTGTAAATGTATATACTGCGACTGTTCCAGAAGCTATAAAATACATGCAGTCACCAATTTGATTAGCTTTAACAATAACATCATGTGTTAAAAATATTTCAGACTTTAAAAGTGCCATAATTCGTAAGAGCAGCGAAAGCGGTAAATTGTTGAAAAAAGTAACATTTTCCACAAGTTTACGACAAGAATGCATTTTAATTTCCTGTCGCATATGCATCGATAAAATACTTAAAATTTCAAATTCCCTAAAATAATGTCTTTGAAATTTAAATTCATAGAAATTCATTATGCGATTTTGAGTTTTACGCGGTAATTGCTTTTGTCTCATGTACTGTGATAAGTGTGCTAATGTTGCTTGATATTTTAATTTCGAAGAATTAATTCCTTTAAAAAATTGCATCACTTGTGCTATAAGAAAACAGAAGATTAAGGTATCAATTATAAGAAAAAATATCACCAAACGTTGATCCGCTTTGGTTTGTGATTCAGTTTGCACCAAATATCCTGAACGCATAAAAGTATCGATAGACCGAACAAAACAATGGCTATATTTATTTATATCACTTTCTATATTCCATAAATTCAAGGATATTATCCAAGATTCATTAAGTGGCATTTGTGGCAGCGATATTGAAACAACAACCACAGGAATTATCCAGTAAAAACAAGCCTGCCAATGGAGCACTATAATAAGCCAAAAAATGGTGCTGAAGAAATCGTAAAGAGATCGACGTATTCCACAATCTCTTGCTATTTTGTCGGTATAAGTCAAGAATGAAAAGATTCTAAAAACATACAAAAGTGATGTGATTTCACGAAGTACAATATGGTAGTTCCAACTTTTGATGAAGAGCAAGTCGGTTGGAAAAGATCCTAATAAATCAACAGTAAAACCCGTTTTAAGGTAGTGTTTGCAGATAACTTTGCGCTGTAATTCCACCATATTTTGAGAGTTGTCAAAATACCTTAATGAAGTATTAAAATTTTAATAATTTAGTTAAATTTAAAATAAAAATTTGTGTTTGCATTATTTATACTTTATGTTGAAATGATGTTTAATTACATATTTTAAATGAATAAAACAAACTTAATAAAAATACAAGTTACTAATATTTAACATTATTTGATAACATAAAATGGACTTTAAAGCCGAAGCATATATAGATAATACATATTAGAAAGATGTGTTTTTCAAATAAAATTTTCTTTAAATTAAGTTTATTTATTTTATATTAACAATTTTTTTAATCAAAGTTTAAATCAAATTGAGTTTACAAAAATGTTTCTTGGTAAAAAAATTAATTTTCTTCTATAAATTATAATTAATTATATTAATTGTAATTAATTTTATTAATTTTAATTAACTTTCATAGAAAAACTTTTACAGAAATAATAATATTAAAATTAAGAACATCAAATTCTTAATTAATATTTATTTTAAAATAAAAATCTGTAATATTAATAATTTAAATACTATTTATCTTACCCAGTTGAAAAATTAATGAAAATATCTAAGCAGCAGAAAAATAAGAGAATATTCTTCACGTAAGTCCATGATAATGAATTAGTTCTATTCATATCAAAACCGGACTGAAATGGAAAAGTTAGGAAACCAGCAGCGATAATTGTAATCATTAATGTATCCCACCAAAATCTGCTTAGAACATGCAATTATCATAGTATTATTTTTTTAATAAAAAAGTAGTGAAAAAACAAGTCCAACCAAATTCATATACCTAAATAAGCTGAAAGGATGAATAATGTATATGCACTGCCGTATGTGTCGATGTCTTTCATCATCAATGGAAGCGTGACTTCTTAAATATCTTTGGGCAGCTCGGCTCTTATGAGAAGCCATAAAAAATTCACGAAAAAAAATTAAAATTTGGTCAAATCGATTTCCTTCTCGAAAAAAGTAGACGTCGTCACAGCGTTTTTTATTACTGTTAGAATTATATCTTTTCAGCATTATAGTTTTTTATTCTATTCAAGTAACGTTCAATACTATAAATATTCTGAGGTTATATCATTTTTGTAAAATTTTGCTTTTATTAATAAAAGCTAGTCAAATAACTAAAAAAAATGAATAATGACTCTCATCTATAATATAGTCAAATTAAAAATAGATTTAATTCCTTAATACATAAGTTTTATGATTTCAAATTAAAAATAAAAAAGTTCAACATATGTATTATTAGAAACAGAAAGCATTTATTTATATGGAATTGAATTTTCCATAGTAAATAAGATAAATATTAATTAGTTTCTTAATTTCATTGATATTTAATGCAAATATGAAATATGGTCTAATGTTACATGCGGTCTGTTTAAATTTGACAAATTATTTATTGTTGGATAATCAATTATAAAAACAAAAATAAATATTTTATATTTTTGGCGCCATCTGTAAGAAATAACTGATAACCTTTTATTATTCTGTATATACATATATATATACATATATATATATATATATATATATATAATTTCCATAAATAATAAATTAATTACACACTTGCAATGTAATAATAATAATTATTCAATTATTTATCATTTAATTGCCATTAATTTTTATAATTATACAAATTCACTTTTTTTAAACTAAAACTGATAATTAATATTATTATTATACTGATAATTAATAAATATCTATAAATATCTATTATTTAAATTTATAGTAGTATTAGAAGTGATACCTTCATATGTAATAGAATATTGCTGATTAGTTGACATATACAGTGTAATATATATAATTTACGATATAAAAAGATTATAAATTATAAATTAATAATATGGAATAATATTTTGAAGAAAATATCAGGAACAAAATTAATGGGATAACTTATTTATATGTATTTAATTGTTGTAATTGTGTTTATTCATATAAAAGTGTAATATTTGTAATGAAATAGTAATGTCTTTCAAATTCAAAATAATTTAAAAAGCGAAATAAGCAATTGAATTAATTATAAACTCTTAAACGCGCATAAGATATATTTTATACATATTATTCGAAAAATATGCAAAATAGTGAAAATCCTATATATATTCTGCGATGTTAATAATTGTTATTACAAGATCTCTATAAATAGAAATGAAACTAAAAAATTATATCTGTACAATGCAGCCTGTGAGTGAACAGTAATCCCCGTATTCAAATTTACAAAATACTCAATTAATTTTCTCAGAATTTTGTATAAAATCTCAAGAATGCTACATGTAAATATGAAAGTAGCAAAATATTTGGCATTCTTATTCTTTAGCTTATTCAATGTAAAACTGTAATATTATAACTTATATTGTTACAAATATATTGCAAAAATAAAACGAAACCGAATTTAATATAATTGTAGTACAAGTGAAATAAAATGGTACGATAAATGTATAAAATTGCAAATTTTAAGTTATAAAAAAATTATCCCTAAAATAATATATTTTATTATTGATAAAAAATTATTAACTACAGAAGGAAATAGTATATAAAAAATAAACTTGAGATAATTATTTGTCAAAAAATATAACATTATGGTATTGTAGTCTACTTAAAAATGTTTCGATTTATTTCCTGTATAAATTCTATTTATATTTACATGATAATGACATTTCTTAATTTTCTTCAATTAAACATTATATTTACTAATTGTTAATAACTACTTGAAATATTCTCTACTTTATCGACTACAAATAAAATATATTATGTACCTGTTATAGATACGGTCGAATTATGTGTAATATGATTTGAGAATATTTATGCACTTAAAGAGACATATTATTAGTTGCAATATTGTTAAAAAAAGCAATGTAAAAGCATATTATAATTAATATTTTTAAATTTTAATATATATAAATTGATTTTTACGATTTTATGTTCCTTTCAGTATTATTAGTTTTCTATCTAGTCGGAAGATGCCAGCATAATACGAAAACAAAATGGGATATAACGTTCTTTATACACTAATGAAAAATATGTTAATTATTAATAGATATAATTATGAAATCACTTGTCAAAATCTATTGATATAATAATAATAAAATAAAAATGATATTTAAAAGAAAGAATATCTAAAATCGTTATCAACATTTACTTTTGAATAAATAAAAAATGTAGCAAATTTAATATTCATTATTTTCTGACTAATTAGCTTTAAAAATTATATATATTTGATAATATATATAAAATAATTATATAATATGAAAACTTTAATGATTAATTATAAATACTTGAATAATAATAAGTTACAGTAATACTGAAAGTTTAAGTTCAAATCTTTTAAAACATTCATTTTAACAAATTTTAATGCATAAATCTTTGCATGTGAATGCAAGTATAGTCTAACATGATAATTTTAAAGATATATAATTAATTAACATAAAGTAAATCTTTAGCATACATTTTCATATATAAATAGTAAATTCAGATGTTCAATAAATAATTAATAAATATAATTGAATATTATTTTATCTGCTTTCACATCTTTATATTAAATTTATGTGTAAAATTATTAATTATAATGTACAGTTATTAAATATTAAATTAAATTAAATAATTAAATATTAATATTAAATATGCTCTATGAGAAATTTAAATAAATTTATTAGTAGGATTTATCTTTAAACAAGTCCGTGTCTGCTTCATCAATTAAGAGAATGTACTAATATTTTAGAAGGTATTATAAAATTAATGATAGTAATTGGTTATTTTAAATAATTTATTTATATACAAATTTTAATTAAATTTATTACAAAATATTTAATACATTAAGTGCATTGTTCTTTATTACTCTAAGTATTGGGTATAAAAAATGGTATAAGAAGATCTACACAAAATGAATGAAAACATAATTGAATACAAATTTAAATACTAGCTAAATGTATATTATATTAAAAATATTAATAACTTTTATATTATATATATCCATATATTTCAGTAGTAATTACTTATTTATTACTTACAAATTTAATAAAATATATGTAATAGAATACTCTTTAATTAAAAATATATTTTTTATTACGGTTACATGAACTTTATTTTATATTTTTATAATTTTTCAAGATTTTGAAAATAATATTTAAAAATGTAATAAGTAGAAATAAATATTTTAGATAATATTTATAACAAAACAAAAACTCAATGTAAAATATTATCAATGAGATTTTACGTGAATAATGTATTTTCAAATACTTTTCTTATAAACCTAACTTCTATAGTAATAAAAAAATTTTTTGTCAGGATATTTTTCTATTCTTTATGTCCTCAAGGATCATATCGATAATTACGCAACTGTTCGATTAGTGACTATAAGAATCAAAAGTAATCTCGATCACTCTTGGTTGTTCGCTATGGGGGCTATGGGAAGCGATGCAATTAGGGGAGAACATAAATCCTACGAAGTTTAGTACACTTCCTCGCGACGCAAGCGCTCACACACTCACTTCTACGTAGATTTATATATAAATATAATAGCATTGAATTGGAGAATACAAATCAATCAGTTGGTAACAGCTGACTGCGCATTTAATTTCCAACGTAGACTACTGCTGATCCCCTCTGCTACTATTGACGATGCCGACTGACGATGCTTTGCGCAGTTCAGGCATGTATAAGCTGTCATGCGGATTGTTCAGCGAGTCAAGGGAGGCAACTGTTCAAAGGGCTAGAGGTATAGAAGCACTTGATGAGAACTGGATATTTTCATTAATTAATGTCCATATCTATGAATTAACACTTCTTAATCACTGTAACTATGTAAATTAGATGTAATTTTTATTACTGTGTGTCCTGCTAAATGATTACACATTTGCTTAAATCTATATATTATTTAATGCGACTTTTAAATAATCAAATATAATTTAAAAAGTATAATTTATTAATGATATTCATATTCCGATTAATATTATAAATAGTTACAAAATACAGTGTTGGTCACAAACCTTATACTATATATATATATATATATATATATATATATATTAGTTTATTTTTTAATTTTTATTTATATTACAGTAATATTGAAATAATTTTAAATGATATTAAGTCGAGTCTCCTATAAAAGATTCATTACAATTTTTTTAAATTTTTGTTCTTAGTTTGAAGAGGCATATTTGTCTCTTTTTGTATATATTTTTTTCCCCGTTTTTATAGCTTAGCGCATAAACGGGAATGTTATTATATATATGCATATGCATATTTATGTATAATATAATATAATATAATATAATATATTATATTATATCCTTTTTTAGAATACAGAAGAATATAATATATAATAATATACATATATATATATATATATATATATATATATATGCATCTTCTTGATGGCTAATTTTAATTTTTTCTTTCTTTAACCCGGATTTGATGAAATATTTAAATTCAAGTAAAATAATTAATATTTTATTTTATTGTTTTTAAATAAATACAATTATTATTTTCCAATATTTTGTAATGAATTTTTTATACAAAACTAAGTAATAATAATAATTTTTTCTGCAATAATCTCATTTCTGTTTAAAAAATAATCTAATTTTTCTACTATTTTTAATATAATGTAATGAAATTAGAACTCAGGAAATGAAACTTAAGCTATTTGTTAAATACGATATTGTTGAATACGATATAGAAATGGAAAAGGTAGACTCGTGTATTTATAATCGATTTGTATTTTTGTACATTATTGATATTATATGATTGTATTTATAAGTAAAAAAGTTTAAATTTTGAATTTAAAAAATATATTTCTTCTGAATAAATACATTAATATTAAGAAAGGCGAATTCTGATTTTGAAGTAAAAATTATCTAAATATTTTCTATCTAAATCTAAATCTAAGACTTTATTTTGTTCATTAATAATTGTAGCTTATAAATTTTTATATACTTAGTCTCTTTGTAAAATTTTATTTATATATCACAATTTAATATTGTACATTTAATTGTTCGATTTGTCATTATTATTATTTCATATTCATA